TCACAGGTACAGAGCGGTCTAGAGTTGAACCCCAAAATCGGAGTCTATAATACTACACCCCAATTTCCATAAATAATCCTAATACTCAATCAATAACTAAATCAAAGACCTCAGGCACATGTGATCCTCCCACCTCCCACTACTTTCCTCATCCTCCCACCTCCAGCCCATAAGGAAGTCCAATCACTACTGATGATAATGGTCTGGAAGTTGAAGCAGCACAAAATCAAAGAGTAAACAAATCATAAACAACTTCAATTTTCAAGCTCTGTGCATGTTTAAAATATTGAATGTTAAGAGTTTTATTTCTCTTGATACAGGATAAACATATTAGGCTTTCCAAAAAAGATGTAATGGTTTAAAATCCTTTCCAAAACCTCCCCCTCTAGTACTATCCCATCTCTGTCCACCATCAACACCCACCTGAACTACTGCAATAGTTCATAAAAAATTTTTCCAGTTTCTACTACTGCTCCTCCACTATCTCTACTTCACAAAGGATCATTTTAAAAGGTGAATCAGAACACGTCCCTGCTGCAGCAAACCCTCCAATGGCAGCCACAGCCCTTGGAATAAAATCCCCACACCCGTCCATGGTTTGGGAGTCCAAGAGGCTCTGACCTCATTGCTCACTCTTGTTCCATGCACAAAGCTTTCTTTTGGCTTCCAAAACCTGCAAAGTTAGTACCTCAGGGTTTTGGCAGTGACTTTTTCTAGGCCTGAAATCTGTCCCTGAGATCATCACAAGTCTGGATCTTGTCATTCACGTCTCAGCTCAAAGCAACCTCCCAGGACAGGATTTCATTGAAGCAGCTTCCTACCTCTCCTCCAATATTTCACCTTAAGCTATTTTTTTTTTTTTGTTACTTATTTCTTGTTCTTTGCCCTGTGAACACTGAGAAAGTAGGAATCTTGTCCATCTTGTAAAATCACATATTTTAAGGACTAAGATCAGGTCCTGGGTAATAATACTTCCAAACAGATACTCATCAATACTTGTTAAATAAATGAACTGTCATGTCACTTTAATTCCTACTGCATTTGGATGAAGAATAATGTGGCTGACAGATGCCCTGAGCAGTATGGCCCCCACCCCTTGTCCCTGCTATCTCAACATTCCTAATAACTAACTGCTATCCTTTGGGAGAAGGCTTCTTTCCTCAGGGCTTTCACCAGGCTGGGTCTCCTCCAGGAAGCTCGCTCTGATTATATCCCACCTCATCCTTCAGAGCTCTGCTTAAACCTCTCTTGCCTCCGGCACCCTTCCCTGAAACATAAGCAGGCTTCATTCTCTTGCTTTGCAATCTCACAATATCCTGTGTTTTCCTTCACAGCACCTTCCACACTCATCTTTTAAGAGGTTATTTGTAACAACTTACAAATCAAAAACAAAATCCTGTCTTTCTGACTGGACTATAAACTCCAGGTCCCTCAGGGAATAAACCTGTTTTATTTATCTAACACGGAAAAGCTTAATACTAAATAGTCTGCCTGACTATAAAACCAGTTTGTTTTCCAAACACAAGAAAAACACAAACTATATGCTCTCAGGCTGCACTTCGTGATGTTTGGGTCAATGACAGGCCTCAGGTTCAATGTGACCCCAATAGGCTGTACCTTTTAGCTTTTTGTAATTATACTCTCTGATGTTCACAGGAGAACCAAATTGCTTTAAGACACCTTCCTCATGATGTATCCTGTTGTTAAACAAGGCATGACCTTATTCTCCCATGTGCCAAGAGGCTAAAAGCCTTCCTAGAACACGTGGGAGGAGGAATATGAATGTTTTCCCCCACTGCCCCACCTGCCACGCTGCCTGCATCAGACATTGGGCCAACCTGACACACTCACTACACATAGTCCCTGCTCCTTTCTCCCTTGAGCAGAATTAATAGCATTGCTGGCCTTCCTTTTGGCAGGCCCGTCCTTGCAGGTCAGTAGGGAGGTCAAAACAGGTTCTTATGCCCCAGAAGCAGGCTCAGATGATTATGACAGGAAATACCCTACACCTGGATTAAATACAGAGACAAACAGAACCAGGAAACTGGAGATGGTTCATTTCCCACTGTGAAGGGCCAGCATTTGGTAAGGCCACAAAACCCAAACTACTGACAGATAAGCTCATTTCATTTAGCGCCTAAAATCCAGCTATGCTTCTCAGGAGATTGTTCATATGCTCTTGCAATGTATATTTTCAATTGATAAACATGATTGTGTGGTTTCTTCTATTCTTCTATTATTCTCATCATTAGGTTGAGAGAAGTTGGTTATTCTCTGGAGGTTAACCGGTGGTGTAATCCTGTCCTGCTTGGGGCTGTACTCTGACCCTACTGTATAAGCCCTTGAGGAGGGCCAGCATGGAAGCCTATTGGATTGGTAGGTTGTTACAGGGGGAAAGAACATTTTCCTTTCATGTGGAGACTAAGGGGACTTGAGGATCCTTTTATTTTAAATATTTATTTATTTATTTTTAATTAATTTATTTTTTAATCATTGTTCATTTTTAAACAATATTTGATTCCCCCCACCCAGGTATAGTCCCCATAGAATTTCCTTCACTAATGCACCTGTGTACCATCACCACAATCCCCTGTGCTTGTAGAAGAACTGGGGTACGGGCCAGAGGTATGGGGCATGAGAGGATTCACCAGAGATAGAGTGGGGAACAGAACAGGCAGACTGACTGAAATACACTGCTAAGGGGAGCAACAGGCAAGACAGGAGAGGTCTGCTGTGCCATGTGGGTCACTGCCCTGGCCAGAGATCCAACTCATGCCGCAGCGGCTGACGGTAGCTTGATAGCACTGAGACTTTATCCCCTGCGCCAGCAGGGAGGCCTGAGGCTCCTTTAGAGTCAATTCTAATACTAAGGGCATCTTCACAAAGAACAAGGTCTGAGAATTTATGAAGAGCCCCTAGTGAAACTGGGGATAATTACTGTCCACCACTGGCACCTCTTCCTACTACCAAGCTTCTCTATGCCCAAGAGAAAAGTTTCAGCAAAGAGAATAAGTGATACCCATTTAGATATTAGAAGAGAAAAATACTGCATTTCTCACATCAAGCAATTCTGTGGTTATCAGTTGGATATCCAAAAATTTAACTCAATTCTGACACCGTTTTATACTGCACCAGATCGACAGGTTAGGGGCTCAAAATCACAAAAATATTCCCTGTTAACCCACTTCAGATGCCAAATGAAGTCCCAGGTTGTCATCTGTCTTTGATAGGCAGGCTATAAATTGGAGATTACCACCACCCTCTTCCTCGAATTTGATTAATTTGTTAGAGCTGCTAGAGCTGCTCACAGATCTCAGGAAAATAGTTTACTTAACTGTTTACCTGTTTATTATAAAAGGATATGATAGAGTAGAGAGATGAGCATCCAGATGGAAGGGATGCACAGGCAGGGATGTGGAAGGTGCCTGGAGCTTCCATGTTCACTCCTGCCTGCCGCTCCCTCAGCATGCCCTGGCTCTCACCAAGAAGCACCAAACCCACACTTTGAGGACTTTCAAGGGGACTTCATTGCATAGGGATGATCACCAATAACTCCACTGGCAGCCCCTCTGTTGTCTCTGAGGATAGGGGAAGGGATTGAAAGTCCCAAGCTTCTACCACGGCAACCAGACCTCATTCCAGAGTCCACCAAGAGACACCTCATTAGGACATAAAATGCTCCTATCAACTACGAAATCCCAAAGGACTTAATAACCCTGTATCAGGAACCAGTAACAGGAACCCAGGTCAAAGACCAAATACTAATGATAAAACAAAAGATGAGTCTAGAGCTTTTATTATTTAGGATATTAAAAGTGCTTTAGGAGCTGAGGAATTATGGGTATGTGTGTGTGTGTGTGTGTGTGTGTGTGTGTGTATATATAAACATTTTAGTTCTTCTATTATCTCACATAGTCTTAAACCATATCTAAATTTTCCTCAGACTAGTGGGGTAGTGGGGATAAAAACACATTCCCCAAATCCCAGAGGTACAAGCTTTTCTTTTCAAATTAATAGCCAACAAGTCTGAACTAAAACTGCCAACTGTTTTTGATGGAAACTTACAATGTGTAGTGAATGTAATATTCTGAGGAAAAAGCGCCTACTCATTTACAAATTTGTGGAAAAAAAACATAAAGAAAAGTTTATTTTGTAAATGTTTAAAAATATATGAGAGGAAACAAATTTAAACCATCCAACTCTAAGAAAGTACAAGTAATCTGATTAAGAACAGTTATAAGACCTAATTTCATGATCTTCTTTATAAGATCTGCTTCATAGGGGCCTCCCTGGTGGCGCAAAGGGTAAAGACACAGCATTATGAAGCTATCCGCAGCCACTGCAGCACAAGTTCAATCCCCAACCAGGGAGCTACCCACATGGCCAGGCAGACCTCTCCTGTCTTGCCCACTGCTCCCCTCAGCAGTGTATTTCAGTCAATCTGCCTGTTCTGTTCCCTACTCTGTCTTTGGTGAATCCTCTGCACACCCCCACCCCCCGCACCTCTGGCCTGTACCCCAGTTCTTGTATGCATAAATAAATATTTTCTTTAAAAAAAAGATCTGCTTCGGGCTTCCCTGGTGGTGCAGGCGGTTGAGCACCGCACTGTGAAGCTCTCCGCAGCCTCTGCAGCACAGGTTCGATCCTGCTGGCCGGGGAGAAATCCACATGGCGCAGCAGACCTCTCATGTATTGCCTGCTGCTCCCCCCTGCAGGGTATTTCATCAATCTGCCTGTTCTGTTCCCTGCTCTGTCTCTGGTGAATCCTCTCACCCTCCTTCACATCTGGCCTATACACCGGTTCTTGTATGCATAAATAAATCTTTAAAAATAAAAGATCTGCTTCATAAAACACATATTTAATAATTACTCATATTTCTTTATTTCACTTCTAGAGGAAATTTTTTCTAAGCCACAAGTATCTAATCAGGTGGAAAAAAATAGAAGAGCGGCAAGATACCAAGCTAAGTGATTTTTAAAAATTAAGTGACTGTACTTACGCAGTAGTGGTCTGCATGTCATGCCAGCTCTTGCTGAAGTTCTGTTTTAATTCATTCATCAGGTTCATGCCGAGCTTTTGTTTTATCTCCACCAGATGCCTTTCTTTCGCTGATAAAACTTGTCTTAATGTTGTAATTTCTTCTTCAAGCTACAGATAGGAAGACAAATGATGGGGGAAATGTTAAAGCAGCTGAAACACACACATGCAAAAGAAATAGGTGCTACGCACAGCCTCTGCACTCTTTTACAGGATGTCTGTGGCACCCAGGACTTTGGGATGACAATCTAATATTTAAAAAGGGATGTCTCAATGACTACAAAGGTTATCACTGCTCCTTATAAAAAATTTACATGTATGGCAAAATACAAACAAAAATAAAAATCAGATGTAATGTACTAGGAAACATCCATTGCTTAATTTTTTTGGTCTTTTCCAAATGTTTTTCTAAAATTGATTTTGAACCAAAAAATCATTTTGTACTATATCTATTTTATGAACAACTTCTTTCCAAGCACTATTAGTCAGTATTTACTTTTCCCCAACCACACAGCAGCACAGATGGAGCAGACACTGTAGTTTTTCCAATCTAGTGCCTTAGGAAGGAAAGAACAAGGGATTAGTAGATGTATGTGAGGGAGAGATTTGTGTTGCTTTTCTTTTCAACAATTTTATTGATATGTAATTAGCATACATAAATTGCACACACTTGAAGTGTTCAGCACAATCAAGATGGTGCACATATCCATCATCTCCAAAAGTTTCTAGTTTTTTCTAAGTCCTCTTCCCTCTTCATCCCCTCTCCCAGACAGCCACTGGTCTTTCTTTCACTAGTTCAGTTCACATTTTTCTAGAAATTTATATAAACTGAATCACATGGTTTATACATGTTCTTGACCTCTTTCACTAACCTAATTTTTGAGATTCATCCATGTTGTTGCATAAAAGATGGTTCTTCCCTTTTTTGTTGTAGAGTAATACTCCATGGTATCGATATATCATAGTTTATCTAATTGAAGAACATTTGGGTTTGGCTGATGCAAATAAAGCTGCTTTGAACATTCATGTACAAGGCTTTGTATGATATATTTCCTCTTTGCCCATGCTTCAAACAGGCAAATCTCCTAGGCATTATACAATTATTCTTACAAATATAATTTCTAATAAAGCAGTTACAAAGGCAGAGAGTATTGCTATAGCCTGTGAAAGTAAATGCCAGATCTCCACAAAATCTCCAATTCTCATTGCTTGTCATTTTATACTGTAATTCTCTGATAATATTGCTTAAACGTACATCTTTGTTTTCTGAAAGATGTAATACTTGTAAATTTTCTTTGTGATGCCATAGGTGAATCATTAGCCCTCCCTTAGTTTCCCACATGTAGGTGTATAATAAAAAGCCTCTACTTCACTAGATATATTTTTTAATGGAATTATGTCTCATTTGCATTCAATGTGTCACTCTACCTCTGACTACAAACTGCACCACTCATCCTGCCAATCATCTTGCAAATGTGTTCCTTGGGTCACCAGAGACATAGCTGCTAGAAAAACACCATGAGAAAGACATCTAGCTTTATAAACTAGACATTTAACTTTATAAACTATTTTAACTAGAGCAAGGGAGATTTTACCTCATTGGTGAACAGCGAGGAATAGTGTTGTTAACCTTCATAAACATAAATGATGACTTTAAAAAAGGCAGGAATACTGAATCAGATGCAACTGAAGTACTACAGCAGAAAACAATAAAACCTTGAGATTTTCAGTACCAGCAAAATGCTTTAGTAATCGAACATCATCCATTTTTCACACTCATGGAAATCTCTCTAAAATATTTTGTAAATGGATCACACATTCCACAAACATGTTATAATCAACAGAACCTTGTCTCTCTCTTTTTTTTTTTTTTGATGAACAAGAGTCTTTATTATGCAGACATATGCTCATTACTGCAAAAGGCGTGTGCTCAGGGGCCCCATGGGGATAATGCACTCAATTTCTCCATTAAGCAAGAGCAGACTGGAATTTAAAATTCAAACCCTTCTATCCTTTTGTTATCATATCATATTTCACTTTTTTCACCTCTATCAGTGTATACACCTGCATCTAATCTGCTGCCTAATATTTCTCAAAGTTGTATCTCTAGCTCTCTTACCACAGAAAATGCTTGAGTTTCATGTCAGCCTTTCATTTGCTATTGGAAAGAGCTTTTCTGCTTTCTTTTAGATAAATAATATGTTTTGAGTGAAATTTCTGAAATTACTAGAAGTCTGGATTCCTGATATATCAGGTGTTACTGTAGTTTTCACTGCATAATAAAAAATAAAAGGAACATTTTACCTTGCAGGAAGAAATTACAAATGAAGAGAAGGAGAAAGAGGTTTCCACGTCTTGATATTCTCAACCTCACATGCTCCAGGAATTTATTCAAAGGGATAGGGCAATACGGTACTCATTAGTTATTTGGTGGGGGGAAGTCAGTAAAAGTTTCATAGCTTTCCAAAAAAGAGTGAGAGCAAGAAGCCAAGTATGCTAAAGAAAGAAATATAAAAGTTCCACAGCTAATCATTTTAAAGTTGAAGCACAAATTAAAATGCATTTGTGGTAAAGGGATTTCAAATGATGGAGACATGAATTTGGCTACTTAGCTGGCTAGTCTCAGACTCTGTAATGAAATTCTTACCATTTCAATTACAAACTTCAAAGCTTCCAGTATACTTCTAGGTGACCTAAGTATTTGTCAAAAGAATATTAAGCAAATATCAAACGTTGGAGAAATACATAATCCTAAAGTATAAGTTATAAGACTGAAAATGGCCAGCCACATCCCTCCACAGAGCAGCGTCCGGCCATCGTAAGGAGGTCTCAACCACAAACGCTTTAATCATTATGGTGAGACGTAAGTTCTCCTTTGACTACAGAGGATTTTTTTTTTTTGATCTAATTACGCCAGTGATTCTCAACTTCAGTTTACATAAAAGTCACTCAGAGGCATATTTAAAATACAGATCCAGATGACTAGCACTTTGAATGCACTGACATTCTGATGTGTTAAAGTTAGTGGGGTCTAACTATAACCGTTATATAACAAAAACATGCAGGTATTCTGATGCAGGTAGTATAAAAACTGAAAGCCCCTCCATGAATCACACCAAATTTCTTTTGAAATGAGGCGCAGTGCAGATATATTTATTAAACAATTAAAGCATTTAATATGTCCTTTCCCTTCAACTTTAAACTAGTCATTTTTTCCCCTTAGAAACTAATAATCTGGGGCCTGCTGGGTGGTGCAGCGGTTGAGCGCTGGGTTGCGAAGCTGCCCACAGCCTCTGCCGTGCCGGTTCGATCCCCGGCTGCAATCTGGCCACCAGAGGAGGGTCCTGCGTGGCGCGCAGACCTCTCCTGCCGCCCGCTGCTCCCCTCAGCAGTGTACTTCGGTCCCTCTGCCTGCTCTGCTCCCTGCTCTGGCTCTGGTGAATTCTCTCACCCTCCCGCGCTTCTGACTGTACCCAGTGCTTGTATAAATAAATAAATAAATAAAAGAAAAAAAAAAAAAAAAGAAACTAATAGTCTGGTTCTTTGGTTTCTTAACACCCTAGACGATCTCCTTGTAGGATATTTATATGCTCAGAAAAGTAGTATGTGTTGGCAAGGATGTGGAGAAATTGGCCCCTTGTGGGTGGGAATATAAAATGGTACAGTGACTGTGGAAAACAGTCTGCAGTTACTCAAAAAGCTAAACATAGAATTATCATACAGCTCTACCCAACTAGGTATATTCCCCAAAGAACTGAGAATAGGTACTCAAACAAACTCACACATGCTCATGGTTATAAAAGCAATGCTCACAATAGCTAAAAGGTAAAGCAACCCAAATGTCCATCAAAGGATGAATGGATAAAAAAAAAAAATCAGTGCATACATAAAATGAAATATAATTCAACCATCAAAAGTAATGTGATACTGAGACATGATACAACATGGATGAACCTCAAAAACATTAAGCTAAGTGAAAAAGCCAGACCCAAAAGCTCATATATTGTATGTGGAAAATATCCAACATAGGCAAATTCATAGAAACCGAACTCAGATTAGTGGTTGCTGGTGAGAAGAAACGAGAAATAACTGCTTAATGGTGTGGGGTTTCTTTCTGGGGTGATGATAATATGTTGGACCTAGAGAGAGGTGGTGGTTATATAACACTGCAAGAGTGCTAAATGCCACTGAATCATTCACTTTAAAAAATAGTTAAATTTGTGTTCTATCAATGTACCACAATAAAAAAATGCAGAAAATACATAAATCAATATGAATTAGCTGGTGAATTAGCTTCATATGAAATTTATGGTAGAAGACTTGGAAATTTATTTTTCTACTTTATTTGCTAATATTACATGAACATCTATCTAAACCCCCACCCCAGCAAAGAAACACTTTCCTAAGCCGCTAATCATCAGTGTGATGCTAGAATAAAAGCATTTGGTCTCTTGTACACACTACTTCATGACCATCTCCTAACTGCTTCTATCTTTGGGTAGGAGTTCAGTAGAGCTAAGATTAAAATGCAGGTACAATGGCCTCCCAGGTCACGCAAGGGGTTAAGCACAGTACTATGAAGCTATCCGCAGCCTCTGCAGCAGGAGTTTGATCCCCGGCTTGTCAGGGAGCTACCCACATGGTGCAGCAGACCTCTCCTGACTTGCCTCAGTAGTGTATTTCAGGAAATCTGCCTGTTCTCCTCTGTCTCTGGTGAATCCTCTCACCCCCTACACCTCTGACCTGTACTCCAGTTCTTGTATGCATAAATAAATAAGGTACAATCTGGAAGGATGCAAAGGTTAGTTTTATGTGACCACTTGACTGGGTCATGAGGTGTCTAGATATTTGGTCAAATACTATCTTGGGTATATGTGTATAAGGGTGTTTCTCATGAGACTGACATTGGAATTCAACATTGACAGTAGAGCATCTTGCCCTCTCTAGTGGGGCCTCTTCCAGTCAGTTGAAAGACTCAGCAGAATAAAAAGTCCAAGTAAGAAAGAACTTTTTTTGTGTGACTGCATTTGAGCATTGTTTTCCCTGCCTTTGGATTCAAACAGTAATATCTGCTCTTCTAGGGTTAAGCCCACTAGTCTTCAGACCAAAGTTATATTTTCATTTCCCCTGGAGATCCAGCTTCAGATTGCTGATTGCTACCAAGACACTTGTCAGCCTCCATAATCATATTATCCAATTCCTTATAATAAATCTTTTTCTATATACTCTTTACTTCACTCTATACATATACACACACACACATGCACACACATGCACACACAACTGGACAACCCTGGCTAATACAGGGGGACATTAAAATCAGACAGTAGTGCTATGAACACTTTAGTTGTTCCTTACCCCAGTCCAGAAAGAATGAAGGTCTTGAAGGAAGGAACTGGGAGAGAAAGGTCAAGAGCCTAAGGCAATTTCTTTTAAGTCTTAAGAGATGGGTAGTTTAAGGACACTGTGTGTTCTTCTTGAGGAGTCACACCCCAAAGGAAGAGAGAAGAGACAAAAGGGAGACTAGAGGGGTCTGGAAATAGGCCTTGCATACTTGATAATGTTGTCTGGTATTTTTCCTACTCTTATTAATGCCTATTTTTCTTAAATCATTTTATCTAGGGGACACTGGCAGTATGAGATTATTATATAACCACATAGTTATAGTACTAATGCCAACACTTCATCCTTTTCAAAAACCAAATCACATTATGGAATACTAAGCATAAAATGCAGCTCACTGAAATGCTATTATCACAGAAATACTGAGCAAGGTTATTTAAAAAGAGAAGGGAGGGGGGAATCTCACAGATATATGTATATAGACCCAAGAAAAGATGTCAGAAACAGCTAATAAAACTAATGAAAACAAATACCTGAAACAAATGATCCTTTTTATATATCCATAAGGCTTGTAAAAAAAAAAACCATAATCTACTTCTGATATTCATAAATATAAATATATGCTGAAGTTATAAAACGCATTAATTATAAATCAAGTTAATTTAAATATTAATCATACACCTCCTATCCACAAACCAAGGCAACAGATCAGAGGTGACTTTGGCTTCTGTTCAAGGAACTTTTAAGAACACACATATTGCGTGATCATAAGGATAAACTGGGTTGGCAACGGATTCCTCTTTTAAAATGCAAACTTCATCCACAATGTCAGCCTTTTGGATAATATTGGATTATTTTGTGGCTCCCACCCCAAGGACAGGTCTTCCCCACTGCAGCACTGGCAAGCACACAGAAATATGAAGGCTCTGTGGGTGAATGGAGTTGTGAGATTGCCCAAAGTCTAATGGAATTTCCATGGGAAGTTTATAAGCAAATAGGATAAGAGAGGGGACGGATGTGGCATAACTGAAGCCACTAGGATAGCCTGAGGAAACCAGGGAGGAGTGAATTGAAAAGGACCCCTTATACACCCCAAGATCCTTGTTAAGCAAAAATGATCAGAGATAAGTTCTCATCCGCAAAGATTTTCCTCTGGATCATGGCCACAGCTGTCTGACTCAAAGGCAGGATCTACTAGACTGCTCTGTGAGATGTCCTGTTATCCGAGGGGCTACTAGACCCAGCAGGATCTTCCCTTAGACACAGAGAGGGGGGTTCCTGACAACCAGGACCCAGGAAGAGTTGAGGCAGAGAAGCTGAGATGTCTAAAAGATGTCTCAGTTCTCTCTGAGAACAGTGTGGGGCTGCTAAGATGTCTCTCTGTGTCCTTGTCACTATTAAAACCCTAACTTCTACAGCAGTCTGAATGCATCTGTGATCTGAAAGAACCTGACTTGTGGTGTGTGCATTTGGTTGTGCTCATGTATACACACAGGCACTTGTAGAAAAAGGGTGGAGAAAACAGATTTATGAAAAGAATAAGCAGAGGTGACCTGAGGTGGAGGGACATGGAGAAAAACAGTGAAGACACGCTCTCTTTGCTTCTCACTGGGCCTGGAACATACAGCTGTGCGCCCCTTGCCTCTGGAACTCAAGATGTCATCTTTGCAAGAAGCAACTGTCTCTAGTTCCAAAATACTTTCATTATCCCAAAAGGAAACCCCAAACCCATAAAGCAGATGCTTCTGCCTTCCCTTCTCCCCATCAATCACCAACTGGCATTCTGTCCCAGTAAATTTGCCTATTTTGGATATTTTCTTTAACTGTATCATACAATATGTGACCTTTTGTTTCTGGCTTCCTCATCTCTAATGAATCCAGAGATAAGAGGAGCAAGAGAGGCTAATGCATTCTAAAGGATGAAAGCAGGAATCCTGGTCATTTGAGCACTTAACCAGGAGTCTGGCATTATTTTCAGAAATTGCACTTCAAAAGCATCAGGTGTGAGATGTGGAAGTTATTAACATGACCAAACGAGACAGGAATTTCTGAAAACACTGATAGCTTTTTATATTCATGGTACTATTTAAAAACCAATGCCTATTTTTTTCTTGACTGCATCACAATGTGGTACAGGCACATTGTCCAGCATTTAGAAAACACAGAAAGCAGGTCCTCCCGGGCGGTACAAGAGGTTAAAGCACAGCACTATGAAGCAATCCACAGCCTCTGCAGCATGAGTTCGATCCCCAGCCTGCCAGGGAGCTACCCACATGGTGCAGCAGACCTATCCTGTTGTGCCCGCTGCTGCCCTCAGCAGTGTGTTTCAGTCAGCCTGCCTGTTCTGTTCCCCACTCTGTCTCTGGTGAATCCTCTCACCACCCACACTTCTGGCCTATACCCAGCTTTTATATACATAAATAAATAAATCTTAAAAAAAAGAAAGCACAAAAACATAAAGCATACATTGTTATATGTATGTATGCATATCTCAGTAATCCCAGAACCTAGAAAAATCAAGATATTTTATAAAAGTTGATCTGTTAGAGTTTGTGTCTCAACTTAAACTGGGACTATAACAGTGAAGAGGTTAAATTTTAGCTTAAAATCTGTTTGCACCAATCTGCAGAATATAACTTTTGGATACTGCATGTGAAACGAACAGGTCATGAACTAGAATTCCAGGCCTTAAGAAAATGTGCAGGGGGGCCTCCCCTGGTGGCGCAGGCAGCTGAGCACAGCGCTGTGAAGCTGTCCGCAGCCTCTGCAGTACCAGTTCGATCCCCGCTGGCAGCGGAGATACCCACATGGCAGCAGACCTCTCCTGTCTCACCCACTGCTCTCCTCAGCAGTGTATTTTGTCAGTCTGCTTGTTCTGTTCCCTGCTCTGTCTTTGGTGAATTCTCTCACGCTCCTGTACATCTGGCCTGTACCCCAGTTTTTGTATGCATGAATAAATAAATCTGTAAAAAAAAAAGACAATGTGCAGGTAGCACATTCTCTGTAAGGTTGACTCTGTCCACCAAGAAGACCAGACTATTTGATTTGGCTCATTGTGCTTAATGAAATAATTTCTGAAGTACCGGAGTTACAAGCTGTTCTTTTATTTTTATAATGAAGTCATTCTAAGGTATATCTTGTGAAATTGCCTGAAAAGTCTTTGTATTTTTATGCACTGTCATAAATACACATTATCAGTACGTTAGCATGTGAAAATGGGTGTGAGGGTTGAGAAGGGAAGCCCAAGGCTGTGTCCCTTCCTTTGGAAGAGGCCAGAGCAAGAAGGCAAAGCCTGGCTTCCAGCTGGACCTGGAGCTTCCTGACCTAGGAGCCAGGGATTCAGAATGGGGAGGAATGTAGGACTCTTTCCCTCTTGCCCAGCTGCTTATTCCACAAGAAGCTCCCTTTCTCCAGCTATTTCCTCCTATAATGTAAATGCTCCTTAGCAAAGCATTTTAAGTGTAGTGGGTGCTGCAAACCAAAGCTTGGACAAGGAGTTGTATCACAACGAACCTGGCCTCCTCCTCACCTGCAACTTTAGATGCCCACAGCAACTACACAAGATTTAATTCAGCCAAAGTAATCAAAGTTTTCCTCTCTTCTTCTGGAGCTTTATTCTGCTGCAGAAGAGTACACAGTTTAATATACCCAGGTGCTTCTATGATTGACTTATCATGACAAAAATAAGACATTTCGAAGCATGTGTTAAGCCAAGTTGCTGAGGTAAAATAAGGACTGCTCTTAAAAGCAGTTTGCACTTGTACCAAGGTCTTGAGGAAATTTCATCATTTGTAAGTGATATATCATTCTCATAGTATTGGGATACTCTAAGGAATAAGAGGAACAAATTTATATTTAATTCTCATTGCTGCATAACCATTCATTTTAACACTCACCAACAAGTAATGGGCAATTAGCATTACAGAGATACCCCAACAAGTGAGTCATCTTACAATTTATCATTTATTAATTTTTATTAAATGAATGGCAGAATAATTATAATATGGGATGTATACAAACTAGCAGTAACTCTCAAGATCCAGAGGTAGAAATAGCAGTAAGAAGACTACTAAACGTACCTGAACCAATTCTGCCCTTAGTTCTTCTTTTTCCTCCTCAGAGAGCATGCTAGAGAAGTCAGCGTTGGCTACTGCATCTTCATCTCTTCCATGCAATGGTTCAGTCTCCAACAAACCTTTAGCAAGGTGGAGAAAACATAACACAATTTTTCAAAATGAATTGGACAATTTCTGCTTCCATAGTCAAGAGAAGTAGTTATACTGACAGACCTTTCCACTGAAAAACAAATAAAAAGTACAGAAAAAAAAAGCTAAATATGAGAGTGGCTGACAAGAAAGACAATAATACTAAGAAGCCAAAAATTTAAGTGAAAGCGCAAAGCCAGACACACAAACAAAAACAAGTCTTCATCAGTTCCACATTTGCCACCCAGATGAATCCTAGCTTCAGATGTCACTGTCTTATAGGGGGCAAGGAAAGCCCAGTGTCACCCAAGGAGAGGCGTTAAAGGTGACTCCCACATAAATCAGCATCCCACAGGGCTACATCCTGAGAGTAAGGTCAACAAGAACCTCCACTCTCCACAGACACCAGCCTGGCAGATGGCCTATCTCCATACTCAGCACTGAACAAACAGACCAAAGAGCCTCCCCTGAGAATTATAAACCTCAGGGGACTGCTAGTGACTTCTAAATTCTTATCTCAAGATTGTTCTGGACTACCCAGGTAGTGGACATCCAGAACAATCTTGAGATAAGAATTTAGAGTTCTAAGACCTTTCTTCACTTTGGCTGTGTTCATATCTGGATATAGTACCAGAGAGGAAATGCCACTGATAAACTGACTCTGGCGGAGGAAGGATGGAGCCCCTGGGCTCTCGAAGGCATCGATGTGGCACAAACACAGACACGCACGTGGGAAAGCTCAACTTCTAATTTGCTGTGTGAGAGAAATGCCTTATTATTAAAATCCATAAAGAAGTTTCCTAGTTGAACCCCTTGACATTAGGCCCATTTAAATGCCTGTATTTTCTGGGTGATCCAGGAATTAGGCCCACACATAGACAGAAACTCCATTCATGACATGAGTTATGAAAGATATGGCATTTAGATGTCTTTGGGCAAATGAATCTCTTTTAATAAATTGTCCTGGAACAAAGAGTTACCCATGTAGAAAAAAAAGCAACTGGATATCTTCGCCAGCCACAGAGATAAAAGTATAAACATTTTAGCAATTTATATTAATGAACCTCTGGACAAGAAGGGATTTTCTAATCCAGACACGCTAAAGGGCAAACTAAGAAAGAAAACATGGATACCTCCCACATATATAAATAACAAGATTAGTTCTAAGACTAAGCAGAATTCCTATAAAACAATTTTAAAACTGAAATAACCCAATCAAATCTGGGTCAAAAGATGCAAACAACTTTCTTATATAGAGAAATTAAAATAGGTTAAATCTGAGAAATCATGCTCAATCTCATTGATGCTCAGAGAAAAACAAATTAAATCATTTCACATCTACTAGATTAACAAAAAAGTTATGTCAAACATCATGAATGTTGGTGACTTATGTGGAAGATAGAAACTCTCACATACTGCTGTCAAGAATATAAATAGATACAAATAACTACCATTTTCATGGTAGTAAGAAACTGTATGTCATACAAAAAAGGCCATAAATAGGAAAAGACATACATAGACAGTGGTGTGTTTACACAAGAAAGACTTGACAATAAAATTACATGCACTGCTTAGATGAGACTCAGAAATAAGACACTGAGTGAAAAACACAAGTTGCTGCATAATAAAGTATAATCCCATATATACAAAGTCCAAGCACATGCAAAATTAAATGAAATGGTGTTTAGGAATAAACCTACATAGACAGGCAAGGCAAAGCTAAAGAATTCAGGACCATGGGTTTTGCTGAGGAGGCAGGGAATGGCAGAACCTGGAAGGGGAATCCCAATCGCATTAGCAGTGCTGCTCCATGTCTAGAACACGGAATTTCTGTGCACCAGTATTTTCTGTACTTTAATATTATTTTTAAGTATTTTTTTACATTTACCAATTGATAAAGCAATTAAAATAGAAGTTGTCTAAAGCCAAAAGAGAAATGTTAACAATTATGGTACAAAATTAGGACACTCTAGGTGAAGAGTAAAACTAAGGCACAATTTGCAAAGTTTTCCTCCAGCTGGCCCCACTCCAGTTCCTGCTACCCACATCCTTTGGTTTGAGTCAAGTGTTCCATCAGTGAAGGGTTAGACCTTGAGGGACTGGGGGCCTGGAAGACACGGGACCCCCAGGAGACCTAACAAGAGAGAAAAGTCAATAACCAGAGAAAAGTCTATGACACTATCACTGGTTAATCTATGTTAGGGCATTGACCAAGGTTGACCAGTCAAGAAACTGCATGATCACCACAGCTCATCCCTTAGAACTAAAACATGAGCTTCACTATAAAAACCCTGAAGTTGGACCTCCCTGGTGGCACAGTGGGTTGAGCGCAGCGCTGAGAAGCTGTCTGCAGCCTCTGCAGCGCGGGTTCGATTCCCAGTCGGCCATGGAGCTGCCCATGTGGTGCGGCAGGCCTCTCCTGTCTCACCCACTGCTCCCCTCAGCAGTGTTTGCGGTCCGTCTGCCTGTTCTGATCCCCGCTCTGTCTCTGGTGAGTTCTCTCACCCTCCCACACCTCTGGCCTGTGCCCCAGTTCTTGTATAAATAAATAAATCTTAAAAAAAAATTAAAAAAAAACAAAACCCTAAGGTTGACCCCTCTCTGGTGGGTGCACTGGAGGCAGGAACTTGTTTTTGCTTATCTGTCCTTGCATAAATCTTCTCAGGCCTGCTTGCTGCTGCTGGCAGGAGTTAGCCTGCTTCTTTAACCCTTGTGGCTTTGCTCCAGGAGCTGGCCTTGTGTGTGGTGTTTCAATTCTTTATTATACCGGCCTTGGTTCCTGAGTCAGCATATCATATCACTTTCCTCACATAAGTACCTGTCACACTGCGAACACACTAACACACATCAGGGAAAATGGCATCTTGCTGATGCAAGTTCATCAGATTCTTGTCCTCTCTATCTACTCTGGAGGCCAGTTTCAATCCTAAAAAAGAGTTCATTTTCAGGAGTAATACTGTTCATTGTAGAAATTCATAAAATAAAATTATGCATTATTTCCATAAAGGTACTACTAATCATCCTACCCAGAAATAATTACATTTTGGCCCATCCTTACCATTAATTTTTCTATACATAGAATATACACATATTAAAAAATATTATATATATATTGATACACATATTTTATATATGTTTATTGTTTTGACCTTGATTTATTATTCAATAGGATATCTTGAATATCCTTTATCTCTAAAACCACATATCTACATGTGTATATTTTTGATGAATGTACAGTACTTTATCTCATGTATGATCAATAATTTTACCTTATCTATTGGGGAGCTATAGTAAATATCTCCTAGCCAAGTCAATAGGCAAAATCTTGATAATTTTCTGTATGTTGTATTACTGACTAGAAGGGCACACACATTTTGAAAACTACTGCAAAATCATCCCCCAAAAAGACTGTGCCAATATCAAGCAAACATCAGCAACCCATAAGAATATCTCTAGACTCTCTACATTTCTCATTTATATTAGAAATGTAGATGGAAACACATTCTTATTTATTTCTGCTAGTAAATATTTATGTTTACATGTGGCCAATTTATTACAGCAGCACTGTTCAAGCTACTGATGTGACTATAGCTATCAGCTATTGATCTAGTTGGATCCTCAAGTCAGTGTTCTAGAATAACTATGTAAATCAGAAATCAGCAGTGATTCTAAGCACAGACTAAAGAGCTAGACCCAGAGATGCCCCTGCACTGGTGGTAGGAAGAGCATGGCAGGACACTCCGATTTTCTCCCCAGCTCAACCTGACCTTCACCCCTGATCTGTCACATGTCATGCTACTCAGAAGCATAGTGCATCTTTCAAAGTCTCACTCCTAGAAACCATACATTCAGGAAATATGTTGGAAGGCTGGGCTGTGAGTTAGTTCAGGTCTACAGATCTTCCTTAACTTGTGACATGGTTGTGTCTCAATAAACTCATCATAAGTTTAAAATGTGTCAACCCATCATAACTCAGGGACCAAATGTATCCAAGAAAATACCAGCAACACAGTACACTAGAATATCAGTTATTTACCCTCTTGATTGTATAGCTGATCGGAAGCTATGACTCCTTGCCACTGCCCTGCACAGTGAGAGTGAGTGTCCTACCACCTACCTATCGCCAAGCTGGGATCAAATCAAAACTCAATGTGGGGCCTCCCTGGTGGCGCAGCGGTTGAGCGCTGGGTTACGAGGCTGCCCGCACCCTCTGCAGAGCCAGTTCAATCCCTGGCTGCTCCCCGGCCACTGGAGGACGGTCCCACGTGGCGCGCAGACCTCTCCTGCCGCCCGCTGCTCCCCTCAGCAGTGTATTTTGGTCCTTCTGCCTGCTCTGCTCCTGGCTCTGGCTCTGGTGAATTCTCTCACCCTCCTGCCCTTCTGACTGTACCCAGTGCTTGTATAAATAAATAAAAAAATAAATAAATAATCTTTAAAAAAAAAACTCAATGTGTATGGTTTCTACTGAGCCCATCACTTCCGCACCATCCTAAGTTGAACCATCCTCACTGGAGGCCATCTGTACCTGCAGTTGACCAGTAATAACTCATTAAGTCCAAGATGTGGGAATGAATGATCCAATAAATTGAACAAACTTCACCTGAGAAGTTATTGTGGGCCAGTTCCACCTCTGCAGATGGGGACTCTCTCATGTGACCTGAGTTCAAGGTCTCAATCAGAAGTTGTCAGGCTCTCTCAGGCTAGTCTGATTCCAAAGTCTATGCCCTTCCTGCCTTACAGTCATTTGAACTGTAGTAAAAAAATGTTGCCAATCAAGAGATGAGCTTTGGATTTAAGTGCTTCTTTATGCCCTGAAACAAAATCAGTCATCAGTATAAACACAGACCTCTAATGCATTGTGTCAGTCACACTAATGGTCATACTTCATGCATATGACTGCAATAGCACAGACAGCTATGAGCTAAAATGGTTATGAACTATAATAATTTCAGATATTATGCATTATTGGCAAATAGTAAAATAACCTTGC